AAATTGATTTGGTAAACGGCCATGTTGACCATAGAAAATAAGAACATGAAAGCCAGACCAGAGGACTGTAGACAAGTTAATTTAAAGGTATTACCTTAAAAAACACATGATGTTTTTATCAATTCTTTGAGATTTTTACACAACATATTCGGATCATATTCACCTTACACTCTCCTCCCCCAACTCCTCCCCATCCATCTCCTCCTTCTTCTATAAGCTTCTCATTTAACTCCTGCCACCACCACCCCCAACATACACACATATACCTGCAAACTATCTTGCAGCAAACATCCTGGTCCTCTGGTTCTGTTTTTTTCACCACCTCTTCCACTATGATCCCTGAATCTTAGTTATATGTGTTGTACTGCAAATGTATTAGCTGGGGACAGGTACTGCACAGTCAGTTATTTTCTGCATTTTGACCAGTTGTGAATTTCTGTAATAGTCTCTGCTGCAAAAACAAACTTCTCTGATGAAGGGTTTGGTGCGTTGAATGGGAGTGGCCCCATGAGCTCTGATTGAAAGCTTGGTCCTCAGTTGGTGGAACTGTCTGGGAAAGATTAGGAGGTGTGGCCTTGTTGGAAGAGGTGTATCACTGGGGATGGGCTTTGAGTTTTTCAAGTCAGCTCTCTCTGCTTCCTACCTGCTGATAAGGATGTAGCATGCAGCTACCTCTCCAATGCCATGCCAGCCTTCCTGTTGCCATGATACGCTCCATGTTGGCCATGGACTCCAACCCTCTGAAACTATAAACCCCAGTAAACTTTGTTCTATAAGTGACCTTGGTCATGGTATTCTTTCATGGCAAGAGAAAAGTGAGTAAGAGGTGAAGGCAACACTTGTCTGTGGAGCTAAGCATTTAGGATGCAGTTAGAGATTATACTGGTTACGAAAGCACAAGTGGTATGGTTTTCTCTAGTGTCCATGTCCTCACCAGCCATGCATAGTTGGCTAGGTTTACAGTACCAGTCATGAGTTCCCTTCTGTTAGGCAGGTCTTAAGCCCAATTAGGTGACTTCTGATTACCCCAGGATGTATGTGCTGTTACAGAACCTTTCATAATACCTTGCTTTCATGGTCATTGTGGTTCCTCAGCATTACAATGAGTAGGACTATTGTTCCCCCCCCCCCCACAACCCCGCAGCAGCTTGCAAGTTACATATTCGTATCTACAGATTTGGAGCTGATATCACAAACGAAAGAAAACATGCAGTGTTTGTTTTTCTGGGTCTGGGTAATTGTTAAAGCAGTTGCTCCTTCAGAAGTCGGTTTCAGTCTAGGTAAGTCGATGCCACAGAGGTCATTCATAATCATTCCTGATCCCATCTGTTCTGCAGTGCCTTATTTTGATCCCCAGCTCCTATGTGAATTACACATGTAATTCTTCTCTATTTTTTCAGACTTCTGAGATTTGAAAGTGTCTGTTGCTTATCTCTGAACATTCAATTCTAATGGAAAAGTACTGGCAACAGGGACAGTGCTGTGTGTGTGTGTGTGTGTGTGTGTGTGTGTGTGTGTGTGTGTGACCAGAGACTCTGCTCAGTTACAGCTGCTAAAGGATTCTTGTTTAGAGGTGTGAATGGTTGGTGCCCCTTAGTTTCTCCCTTTCTAACTTATACTAACCATATCTCTTTAATTTAATATATTTTGGTGCTTTGTCATCACTGAAGGAATTATTTAAAGCTCTCAGAAATCGGCCACTTTCTAGAAGTTGTAAGCATCTTACCCAGAGGCATGATTTCCTATAGCCAATGCAGAGTCCACACTCCTAAAACCTCCTCTTCTGTGAACTGTCACTGACTACCCACCTGCCTGAATGACTCTGGAGATCTCCAGAAACATAACCAACAATATGAGTATGCATACAGAGAACGTTTACTTTTCTTGTTGTCCAAGGTAATCCCTCCAACCTCTGGCTTCCAGCTGTTGAAATACTTGGACCTTTGTGTCTGTTGAGCTGAACCCAGTCTTCTGACGGAATGCTATGTCTTCTCTGGTCTTTCCTTCTCAGAGACAGGCTTCCTCAGCACAAGGATTCTGGAAGATATCACTTGACCCTGGGAAATGCTGGGAGTTACTTTGCTAGTTCCTGCTTAATGACTGGGGATTTTCCATCTTGTGTTCTGATCACCCACCCAACCATCCAAGTTTTCATTGAAAACTCAAGTATTTGCGATGTGTCAAAGGCAATGGTGGACTCTTGGAATTAAAGCAGGTCTTTACTGTCACTGAGAATACAATATAATAACAGAACAACTTTCAAAAAACTATTTCACCAGAAATGGTCCAAGCTGTAACAAGTAGAGTGAACAGCATGTTGTGGGAGCATGACTCTGCCTACCTCCCTTCCTTTCCACTTCCTTCACCCATGACTCCTCTTGTCACTTCCCTGTCCCCCCTCTGCCTTGCTTGCACTCCTGTACTCTTGCGCCACCATCTGAGTGTCTCCTCCTGGCTTCCAAGCATTTTTATTTTATATGAAGCAAAGCCCCTGGAGATGTGTCAGGGATTCAGTGAAAGCGATTTAAGCAGGATGTTGAACAGCTGAACTTAGCATGTAAAGTCTGTGTTGGGATGATGAGGTTTCTGTGCATACATACAGTCTATTATAGAAGGGGAGAGAACTGTCTGCTGTAACTGTTCTCTTTGAGAATGATGTGGGAGAAAGGACAAAGTAATATTGCTACACTACTGGCCCAGCACCATGAGTTTAAAAATGTTTGTGTGGAAATACTAACAAGGGACACATGTTACACTCCCACACACATATAAAAGAGATGTGAGCCAAAGCGCTAGAAACACCAATAGAAAAGTAAACGCTTTCGCCTGGACGATCAGAGCCTTTTAAAATGGAGGCATGCTCCGGTCCCCAGGAAACTAGACAGGGTCAGAGCCTCTTGCCTTGGGGGTGCTTGCTGCTTTGGTTGCTGTGCACCACCCCTTCACAGAACCCCAGAGCAGCCATCCTCTGCTGTGCCCATCACCTCTTCTCTAGTTTCTGCAACAGATATTTATAAAGTGCCTACTCCATATGCCAGACTCTCCTGGGACGAGCGATGGCTGCTGAATGTGAAAGGCATGATCATATTCTCCATAGAATTTATATACCGGTAGCCACTAAGACTGGTGCTGGGAGTGGGAAAAGGGGGTCACTGGATGTCCGTGCTACTGCTAACGGTGACATGCAGGCACAAAAGGCATTTTCTACTGCATCTTTATTTTTTTTGCAAGTCTGTGTAGTATGTATGGTGTGTGTACTCATATGCAGATGGGCGTATGTATAGAAGGATGTGTGCGTGTGCGTGTGTGCGTGTGCGTGCGTGTGTGTGTGTGTGTAGGCCAGAGGTTGACATTGGTTGTCTTCTATCACTTTTCAGTTATTTTACTGAGGCAGAGTTTCTCACTGAACTCAGGGCTCACTGACATGACTAGTCTAGCTAGCCTGCACGCCAGGGATTTCATCTCAGCCTCTTAGCACTGGTTACAGGCAGGCTCTCTCACTGTCCAGCCTTTTATATGGGGCTGGGAAATCTTAATCCACCCTCCTGCGCCCCTGGTCAGTGCTTTATCCAGTGAGCCACCCCCCCCCCCAGCCTTACCCCTTTATTTTCCTTCAACTCATTTTATTTTACAGAAGAAAGTGAAGTTTACAGGAGTTAAGCCTCTTGCCCCAGACAGTGTACGTGGCAGTCTTCAGTACACATAACGATGCTCTGGGAACTTCCCACATGAGAAAGCAGAAGCCAATTGCCCTGCAAGGGAGCAACACAGCTGCCCTGACTTCTAAGTGTGAACTCCAGGTGGCAATAAACTGGAGGCAGTAGTCCTCAATGGGTCCTACGCAAGCCCCATGCCCAGTTAGCCGAGGTAACATTAAAAGAAAAACAAGAAAAGGAAAGAAATGCAAAGACAGGGTGCGAGCCCCGCCCTGCATCTCTTGCTCCACTGCTGCAATTCTCTTCCCCGTGGCTTCCCTTGTCCATTCTCAGACCTACCTGTGGCCCAGTTTCCAATTTGCTTTTCATCTTTCTTGCTTGAGACCTCAAGTCTCCTTCCCCTCAGGCTCTTCCCTCTTGCCTAATCCCTATCTGGGCAAGCTTTTCTGGTCTGGACCTCCCTTAGCTACTGTTTTGTACAGCTCTAAGCTAATGTGTTCTCTGAGACTGCACAGAGCAATGCCTGAAAGCACTCCAGGTTTACCTGCCCCAGGGCAGGGCGAGAATACACGGCACCCCTTAGGGTGTTCATGTAAGATAAATCCAATAGGGGTGATCTCAGGCTGCTGGGAATACAACAGCTTGAAGCTTGGATTCTTCCCCTCTGCCATAATCTGAATGAAGAACACAACTAAAGATAAAGGAAAGCTGTATCAGGAAATCTTCCTTTCTTTCTTTTTCACTTTGTGCTGAGTTTGCTTGTGGACAAGTAACATAGCAACTGAATTTTCTTTCTCTGCCTTTGTTAGCAACTGAAATCAGGAGACTTATTTTTTTCCTTCTGGTTTCATTTAGAGATTCAGAGACCTTTTGTTCTGGTTCTCAGCAAAATTCCCATTGTATATTTGGGGGAAAGTCTCTCCATCGCTTTATTACCTACTGCTGTCCTCAGGAAGCTAATTCAAAATGAAGCTGCAGGGGTGGGCAAGGGTAGGAGGAAGAGGGAGGGAGCCATCACCTTTGTCACGCGGCAAGAACTGAATTACAGGAGTTTGATAGAGGACAATTAGTTATGATTAGGGGAATAATTTAACTCTTAAAGGCCAAACTCAATGAGCCCAAGCTTCTCTGTTAACAGGAACTATGCTAAAAATGAAAAGTATCAGTTGTATAACAGACATATTTCCCTCTGTGTTTTAGATCATTCTCTCTTACTTCCAGTCAGCAAGGCAATGCTTCTTAGGAATTACATTCTTGCCACTTCTTCATCCATCAGTGGACGTTACGCTGTAAGATGTGTGCAATGCAAGAGCTGGAAGAAAACCTTAAAATCATCCAGGCCAATGGACTCTTTTCTTGTTTTAGAAACAGAGGCTCAGGGAGAGCAGCTGCTTGGCAGTGGTTAACTGAGGAGCCATTTTGTGCCAGGTCTTGAATTTTAGCCAAATGTCCTGTCTGTTATGTCCCTACTGTTTCTAGAGAATTCTTAGGCATTTGCCTATGAGGAGATGCTCTGCAACCAGCTGTACTTGGAGGAGAAACATTACGCTGTAAGAAACACTTAAATTAGTTATTGATGTAAAGAAGAGATCCAGCTGCTGCTGCTGCTGCTGCTGCTGCTGCTGCTACTTGAGTCTCCTCCTTCTCTCATCCTTATTGATATGCCTTTCATCAAACAGCATGCTGAGGTGATAGCTGCACAGAAGAGAAAAATCCAATTTTATTGTGTTGTGTCTTAAAAATGCCATTTTCTTCTGGAAAAAAAATAATGTCAGAATGAAATATTTGTTTTCATAATGCACAGTCGCACTTCTCCTTTTTAAACCTTTTTCCCCCACAACACATAAAATGTTTAATGGGCCCAACAGCAAACTCCTCACTTGGGTTTGAGGAACATTAGAGAGATGAGGGAGAATCTAGGCTTACTTTCCAGCTCAAAATTAATTTAAAAGATAGTAGTAACCATGATTGCTTTTTAATTAGGCACATACATTTTTAATACAATTAATATATAGCAACCACTGAACACCACCTACCAGAGTCCCCAACCAGCCCTCCCACAAGACCAGCTGCTTGAAGTGGACTTTGTCATCAAATGAGTTTGAAAAAAATGCAGATAGTGTCATCTCCCAAAAATATGAAATCCATTTCGTACAGGTTTTAATACTTTGAGGTCTCTTACTGCTGATAAAAATGCATTTCTAAGTTATTTTATCACAGATCCATTTTAAATTTTTCAAAACAATGGTGTGGATACTACATTTTAAAATACTTATTTAAAATTTTATTAAGCTGGAGGCTGGGAAGATGGCTCAGCCAAGTAAGTGCTTGTCACACAATCATGAGAATCTGGGTTTGGATCCTCAGTTCCCATGTAAATGCTGGGCTCAGCTGTGGCAGGTTTATCCCTGGAGCCCTCTGGCCAGCTGATCTAAATGAATCCATGAACTCAGATTCAGTGAGAGACTCCGTCTCAAAAAAGATTGACGTGAAGAATGACTGGGGAAAATGTCTGGTATCAATGTTCTGCCTCCATAAACATATGTACACATATGTACAAGCACCAGCATATGCAAATGCATACACCCACACAAACACATATATATACCATGCACACAAGTATTGATAAATTGAAAACAATTGAGTTAAAAACAAAGAACTGGATCTTTGAGTCCTAGCATAGAAATATGACTAATAACATGCAAATACAAATACAGTCATGAAATGGGAAGTAACTGCTGTCCAACTTTCAGGCTGTAGGAGAACAAAAATGTGTTAAGTGAGGTCTAGGACAAATGGCCTTTAGCATGAGGCCTTGTCTAATGGGCCAGAGAGTAAAAGTTCAATGAGAGCAAACTACACAGAGGAACAGAAGCCTCCCGTGTTTATGCAGCCTGAATCTGGAGGCCAGAGGCCCAATAAGGTGACATTGCACAGAGAAAGAGCCCTGGAAGCCCATGGCAACAGTCAAATAAACTCTTCTCTCTACATTGGAGAAACTCAGTGAAAGAAACTATGTCTGACCATCCACGAAGAGAAGACCTTTCTGAACATAAAGGGTTTTCTGCTCAGAGCCCAGGAAGATGCCAGCTCTGAACCAAAAAAAAAAAAAAAAAAATTATCTGGTTCTGTCTAACAAAGCTGAAAAATCAACCCCCGAAGGGACCCAACAGGAAATTCTTTGTGGCAAATTTAACATGCCCTTCAACAAGGAGCACATCTGGTTCTCAAAAAAATAGAGGTGATTGAATACCAGGATATGATGTTTTAAAATAATATGTTTGAGTATGACATCACAATAGAAGGTGGTCATGAAAAGTAGTAGTCAATAGAAGCAGACCCTGAGCTGGCCAAAGTGCAGGAACTAGCAAACAAGAGTTTCAAACAGTTCTTAACCACATGTTTTTACATTTAAAGTAAGATGGACACAGTGAGAGAAGTTCTCAAACTGAAAAATACCATACCTAGGGAGAATAAAAGCAAGAAGCGCCAATATGCCTACCAATAAATTTTTTTTTTCATAGAAAATACTTCCAAGATGTCTGGTGATTAATTCCTTTCCATGATAAAGATTCAAGTTTCGTGTTTAGATTCTGTGTTTTGATTTTTCAAGTAGGAGGGGCTTAAAAGAAACTTCAGAACAGTGAAGATTCTTATACGTGATGACAGAAAAGACCCAGGGGCTGTATCTAGACACAAGAGTAAAACCCTGCTGTTACTGGAAAGTTACAATGAAGCCATTCATTAGTCAGTTTAAAGGCAGAGAGTCAGACGTGAGGAGCAAAGAAAGACAATGTTTCAAAATCAAAGTAGGAGTAACAAGCATGGGTGGTCACCCTTGGACCAGGAGCTTCAGGGTTTCACATTCTCTCAGAGATGGTTTGTCCCATTTGCAAAAGTCATTTTCCTCACCTGCTTTTATCTTCCCACATTACCCTGCAAGTCAGCAAGGAGGAATACCAACCCCTGCACAGTCTGCTCTGTTGGCAATCTTGCCAGAATCTCCGGGTGCTGGGTCAGAAAAGGCGGGCTGGGGGAATTGCTTGGGGCTGTGCCTTGTAAAGAGGATTTGGGTTACACAGCCTGTGGATTGGCCTTGCAGGAATGTCCTATCTCGGTTCTAAAATACAGAGGCGTAGCAATGTGGGGCAGGGTGATGGGCATACTGGGTTGAGGGCTAAGCCTCCTCCCTAAAAGGGAGCTTGTCACTGAAACAGTTTGATTTCACTGAGCAGTTACAAAAATAGAACAGCTTCTGGCTTGTTTCAAGTTTTTTTCTCCTTGTTGGGATTTATTTTGCTGTGTTTGAAACAGGGTCTCAGGTATCCCAGGCTGACCCAGAACTTGAGGTGTAGGTAAAAATGACCTTGAACTCCCCATGCTTCTGTTTCTACCTCCCAAAGACTGGGATTACAGGCTTGTGCCCTGACTGTGATTTTTTTATATTGTTTTGCCATCTTTACATTATCGACAGTTACAAGTGTTTGCTGTTCTTCAGAGAACCTGAGTTCAGTTCCCATGTTGTATGGCTCACAACTGCCTGAAACTCTAGCTCCAGGGAATCCTGGCCTCTGCAGGCGCTTACACATGTGACACACATACACACACACACACACACACACACACACACGAACACACACTTACATACATACATAAAAACAAACACATATACACACAAGCATCCATATACACACATACATGCACGCATTCGCACACTCATATACACGCACATACACACATGCAGATACACAAATAAGCATTTGTTTCTTTGTTCGTTTTTAAAGACTCTTACATTGCCCTCTGGTCCTAACATGCACTAGTGCCTGGACATTCTCCTTGTTACTTTCTGAGGGCATCCTTTCTTTGTTAGTCAGAGAGAAAATAGTCACTGAGGTCAGTGAGAAAAACACTCTTACACTTTGCAGATCCCATCACAGGGCTATGTTTATCTTGGGGCTTTAGTCATTACTATGAATCTATTTTTGGAGTTTATTATGATTATTGTCGCATGTGAGCATTTACAGCTTAAGTCACACACACCCTTCACTCTGGTCATCAGGCTTGCATGGAAAGAGTTATTTTTACCCACTGAGCCATCTCTCTATGCCCAGTGAATCTACTTTTAATCGTTATCGTGATCCCATGCATAAACTGTAAGGTTCACTTTATGGAAGATTCTGAGAAATCTCTTAAAAATAAATTTATATGGTTATTAAATATTTGTTAATATTAGCTTCACTCAAACTTTGTAATGCTTTACTCTCGACATGTGATATAGCTCAGGCTCAGAAAGAGGACTGGCTGTAGCCCCAAAGTTCCTTAGAATAAAAATGAGGCTACACTCTTCTCTTTTATTGCCCATTTCTGTTTCCCCTGTGTGTGTGTGTGTACACGATGTATGATTATATATAAAATGTGTGCACATTCCTGGGTGTGAGCGTATGTGTACATGAGCCATGGTGCATACGTATATCAGAGAACAGCCTCAAGTGTGGGTCCTTATCCACCTTGTTTGTTACGGGGTCTCCCTGCTGCTTCCTGCTGTGGATGCCAGCAACACTAGCTTCTGAGCTTCCAGGACTCTCCTTTCTCAGCCTTCATCTTTTCACGGGAGCACTGGAGCTGCAGACGCTTGCGACTGCGTCCACCTTATTCTTACAGTGGTTCTGAAGATTCAAACTGAGGTCCTCACAGGTGCAGGGCAAGCACTTTACCCACTGAGCTATCTCCCCGGTCTCTCTTTTCTCTTTACTGAATTCAGCCACAGCACGTGTAAGCCCATTCAAGTTACAGCATTTAGTCAAAGACCATCAGGAAAAACACTTCGTAGATTTTTACTTTTATCATTTTAGGCAGTGGGAAATCTACACCTTGGCAACACCCACTTGCTTGCAGAAGGACATGTTTCAGTGACCATAGGAAATGAAAAGCGGGTCCTTCCTCCATTCCCCAGCCAGGATAGGCCGTGTCCTCCAAGCAGATGACTAATTTCTCCAAGACTGACTGATAAACAACTTTATATCCAGGAACATTGACGTCATACAATGGCCATGAAAGCAGATACTTAGGTCCTTGCAGTCCTCCACCTTTGAGACAGGAAGCTGAGCCCCTGTCAAAGGCATGGCCTCTGAGCCTGAAAGTCTTTGTGGCAGCACTGGGAAGGGGAGGATGTGACCTGGGGGTGACATAGCTGAGCAGAATTTCATTGACTTTTCAGTCGTTTTGTAGTTGATGACACCTCAGATGAGTGAGCTGATAGCAACGCCATGTTACTTCTTGGATCCCTGAAAGCTGCTTCCTGTTGCAGCCTGAACCTCTTGCCCCAGACATTTTCGACTATTTGATGGTTCACTTTTAACATCCAAGGCTAAAATCTTCACCCTAACATCTTGCCAACTGTGACATTTTCTGAATTTGCCAGAGGATACTGATGCCTTCACCCCCAGACACCTTGCACCCTGCTTCTTTTCCCCTATAAATATCTCCAAACTCTATCTTTGGGAGGGTGGATTTGAGATTTGGGTTTCCCACCTCCACTTCTGGCTGCCTTGCAAATAAGCCTTTTCTCTCTTGCAAACCCTGTTTCTGTGCATGGTGGACTGTACACCAGACAAAGCCTGCCTCTGTTCTGTGGTGCTGCAGCAGACAGTGCTGGGAAGCAACGGAATCTAACAATCTCTCTGCCTTCTTCAGAGGTGTGGTGTTACATAACCCATGTGCCTTCTACACTCAAAAGTACTCAGTCTCTCTTAGGAAGAGGAGCATAAGGAAGGGAGAGTCAAGTAGAGCATTTTGTGCCTTAAAGTAGAACATTAACTGGAGGACTATTTAAATCATTGCCTTAGAATAGGGTTTTTAAATTTTGAAATAATCTCAAACATTCAGAAGGATTCCGTGTGCAGAATAAAACCCGTGTGCATTCAGGACTGTTGAGAATCTCTTGCTGAAATGGTGCCTCTTAACCCCCAATTAATTTCATTTGTCATATTTCAAAAAAAGAGCAGTAAAAGAGAATTAAGTTTGTCGCTATGACTATAATATAACTATTAAAATGGAGGGAATTAACATTCACAAGTTGCTAACGTTTCTTTCTTGCAATCCAGTGAAAATTCACCAGTTGTCACAATAATGTCCTGTAGAGCAAAAGCACACAGTTCATAACCACACAATGTGTGTCGTTTTAATCATTCCACCTGGAACATGCTCGCGGCCTCAATTCTTTTGAAGATTACAGGGTAGTCATTTTGTAGGATATGCCTCTGTTTAGATTCCCGGGTGTTCCCTCACAATTAGACTTGAGCTATTCACCTCTGGCAGGACAACTGCAGGACTACGCTATGAGCTTCTCATCTGCACCTGAGCACATGCCACACTGTTTTCAAATTCGTGCTTTACTTCCGATGTCCACATCCATCACTTGATTAAAATCTGCTGGACTTACGTTGCAGAATTACACTTTCCCTGTATTAATCACTGTATTATTTTAAGGGTATGGGTGTTTTGGCTGCCTGTATGTCTGTGTGCCTGGTGCCCTTAAAGGCCGGAAGAGGGCTTCAGATACTCTGGAACTAGAGTTATGCATGATTGTGAGCTGCCATGTGGATGCTAGGAAGCAAACCCAGGACTTCTGGGAGGATTGGTGCTCTTGACAACTGATCCAGCTGTCTGCTCCTTACACTTTCCCTTTTTATTAGGGGGTCTTTGTGGGATGGGTTTTGAAAAGATGCATACATGCAGGTTTTTGATGTAATTCTGTTTAATCTAATCACTTGATTCCATTTCCTTGAGATAATTTTTCTTTTATTACATATTTTGAGCCTCTGTGCAATTTTTAATGGCTTGCGAACATTCTTCAAGCACTATCTCAGCTTCCTGAAGGACATGAGGGGCTTCAGGCTCTGACCTGCCTTGCTCAGTTTCACCCTAGTAGTTTTAGGACTAAATGGTCCAGCGAGGAAAGAAGCTAAGAAAAAAGCTGACCACAGTTTAAGCCTTGACAAACAAGTTTGTCTCCGTCCTTCCCTTACCCACTGCATCAGCAAAATGAAATACTGACCCTCAGCTAATGTAGGTGGTAGCAAGAATGAGCTTTAAAGCTTCTTCCACTATTGCTGTCCAGGAGAAGTCACAGGGCCTCTGTGGGCTCCAGCAGCCTAAGAATTTGTGGGTATCCTGCCATGGTGCTCATGCACCCCTTTACTTCATTCCCTGCTTAGTAGAACAGTGACGAAAACGCATTTCATGATGGTTGAAGATGGAAAAAGTAGTGAAATTTTAAGACTTTTGTACAGTTGATTCTGGGAGTGGGTACAAGAGGAGCTACAGGCGGGAGGAGGGAATCATGGGAAAGGTGAAAGGCCTCAATCTCTGTTGTCTAGGGAAAAGGAAAAGATGGAAAAACATACCCAGTACCTGGGAGATCTCATGTTTTAACAGGCAGGGGACAGTCACTTGGTATCTTCTCCAGAGAGGTTCATGCTGTACCTGAAACATGGTAACACCGGCACTACTTGCTCTCAAAGATGCTGTTTCCACATAAGAATACGGCCTCCTGCGTATCATAAAAGCATAGCCATGTTTTGTCTTCGCAGACTGGCATTTTGAAGACATGATTTTCCAGAGCTGACATTTCCTATTTGTTGGAATTTTTACTCTGTGTTATGTGGTAATAAAAAAATTACGAATATGAAGGAAATGCATCCATAGCAAAATTACGGATAAAGAACCAAATAATTTTATTTGGATATTGTGTGCCCCCACCCGCACTGGGGTAGAGTCCTGCCTTCTCTAAAATATGAAATCTTGGATGAGTTACTATGGAGATTATTTTACTTACATACAGCATCTGCTGTTAGGTGATGATGACATTTATACCGCATGGCTCAAGTCCCTACACCTCTTCCTAGCCTTGCTTACAGACACAGTCCTGTTTTGACTCATGTGGCACAAGTTAAGGTGAGAGGGGTACATTTCAGTTCTGCCCTGAGCATGAAAGTATAGTGCCAACCTACACAAATCCAATTTTATCGTTTTGTCTCAGGAAAGAGGTGGATTGACCTATAAATAATCAAACTTCTCCAGTTGGGTATTTTGGGATAGAACAAGTGAAACATTTCCCATAAGGTCATTAGTAGAGGAACAGGAAGAATTCTAACCCAGTTTCCAGACCAAATTCTGTTCTTCTTGCTAGAACTGAGACAAGTAGAGTTTATTCAAATGAGAAGGAAATAGTTAATTAAGAAACACAGAGCCTGAACTGGCTATCTTCAGTACTTAGCAAAGCTCCTAGTGGTGGGACTGGGACACAAACCAACGAACAGAACCTTCAGCCCACACCTGCCCTGCTTGCAGGATGTGCTGGGACAATGGTGGCTCAGAGCTTGTGAGAATGGCCAACCAATGACTCCTCTAACTTGAAGCCCAAGCCATAAGACAGAGCCTAGGCCCAAGCAATGCCTGGATGGCCAGGAACCAGAAGCAGGGAGATACAGAATATTAGCATAGAACCAAGCATGTTAGTGGTTTTTTTTTTTTTTTTAAATGTATTGACGCTCCTCTTTTGACCCAGCTAGCACCAAAATAATCGATACTGGACTATTATATTTATTTAACACACTTTGCGGCACAAGAACTGAACAGCATTAATCTATTTTAACCTTCTAAAGTAATCTGGCTTCCTCAGAGTATAAATCCCCAAATACTTGCTTTTATGGCTTTCTCTAGTCCAGCTGCTCTCTCCTAATGTCTCCTGGACCTCTTCTTCTGGCTGAAACCCCACTTTCTTTTTCTCTTTTTCCTCCTCCCCTGGCTGGCAGGAAGTCCATCCCTATTCTCTTTTCTGCTCAGTCATTGGCTGTCAAGCTGCTTTATTGATATATCAGGGAATAATTGGAGAGCAAAGTTTAGACAGGAGATTCTCAGAACAAGGATTGCGAACAGATATGGGGGGCACAGAAAACAGCATTTGAATCTTTACATGGTGCACAATAACATTATGCCTGCTCAAACATGACTGACAAAAAATGTTAATAAAACTATTTCCAGTGATATTCTGCTATACTCATAGATTGGTGTCTAGCCAAACTGACATCAAAGAGGCTTCTTCCATTAGATGATGGGAACAGATGGCTGAGATCCACACCCAAATATTATGTGGAGCTCAGGGAAAATGTGAGACTCCTAACAGTGGGAGTTGGAGTGTCTCTGTTTCTTGAGACCCTTTTCCACCTACTGGGTTGCCTTGTCCAGCCTTGATATGAGGGTTTGTGTCTAGTCTTACTGCATCTTGCTATGTTATGTTTGGTTGATAGCACTGGGAGGCCTGTTCTTTTCTGAAGGAAAACATAGGGCCAGTAGACCTGTGGGAGAAAAGAGGTGGGGGGAGGTGGACTGGCCGGAGTGGAGGGAAGGGAAGGTACAATCAGGACATGGTGTATGAGAGAAGAATAAATTTTTAAAAAGAAAGAAATTGCATATCAATGCATCATTCATCCGTTTATTCTACCAACACTTTCTAGAAACTATTTCTTACTTGCCAAACATCTGTTTACTCGGGAAGGATTCTGTGGGAAAGTATGATCTTCACAATAGTACCCTGCTCTCGTGGGAGAATGAAAGCACAAGCTCCTGTGAGTAAAGGGACACATTCCTAAGGCCACGTGAGAAAACAGGTCTAAGGGTATGAAAACTCACTTGTAGCAAGAATGTCGGCACTGGCTTCGTGGAGGAGGCATCCCTAGCATACGGCGATAGATGACAAATGGAAGTTGCTTACACAGTGTCCCAGTTTAGAGATACGATTGCTGTGATGAAATACTACAACCAAAAACATCTTAGGAAGAAAAGGTGTTTTTTTGTTTTTTTGGCTTACATATCCAGAGTCACAGTCAATTGAGGAGAGCCAAGACAGGAATACAGAGCAGGCAGGAACCTGGAAGTCGGAGCTGATGCACTGGGCAAAGAAGAGTGCTGCCAACTGGCTTGCTCTTCATGACTTGCTCAGCCTGCTTTCTTATAGAACCTAAGACTGCCAGCCAGGGATGGCACTACCCATGATAGTCTGAGTCCTCCCCCTTTAATCATTAATTCAGAAACTTTCTTCCAGGTTTGCTTGCAGCCTTATCTATGGTGGCATTTTTCTCAACTGAGGTTTCCTACTCTCCAATGACTATAGCTTGTGTCAGGTTGACATAAAACTACCTAGCACATAAAGTTTGTATATCATTTGATGAAGCTGATATGCTCCACCCACAGACCAAGCACAGAGAATGATTTTTTTTCCAACAAATTTGATGGTTTTTAACTGTGGCTCGCAGAGACCACCTGACTTATGTGTGCAAGTTGACAGTGCTATTGCTTGAGGAGCTGGGATTTCCTGGCACAGACAGGCTGACAACAGATCTGTTATGTCACATCAAGAGGCTAGCACACAGCAGAGAGGTCCCCAGAATCACTACCTGTTACTGATTCTGGTCAGACCACCCCCTGCCATGCCCATCCACCTGCAGGCCTGTGCCACTTTCTGTCTGGGATGAACAGTGAAGAGTCTCATACCTTCCTGTGCACCGGGAGCTTCTCATCTCCTGGAGGAAACAATACATCATTATGTGGTCTTTTTCTTCATTGCTGGAATGAACATTTCCTCATTGACTTGTATTACTGCCCTCTGAAACAATGAGTGGCTCCTGGCCTTACTTCCTCACAGCTTTCTGGGATGGAAAGCAGCACATCCTGAGGTCTTCAGATCTGAGCTGTCTTGTTCTTGCACTGCCCTCTCTGGAAAGCTCCTTTTCCTGAGGCAATGGATCGAGAATCACGTGGTGGAGCCTTTCAGGGGAAGACTGTTCAGTTGATTATTAACTTTTATAGCTATTTATTCATCTTAAATTATGTGCTTCTAAAGGTTTTTATATGCACAGTTTGTGTTAGCTTAACACTTTTATTGAATGTTAACCTTTTTCTGGGTAAAATCATTTTGTTTTACATAAACATTCATTGGGCTAAGGACTTTGGGAATAAAGAGAGGAGACTGTTTCTTGGCATCTTATATTACAACTCTTTCAACAACTGCCTTTATGTATCGGATACTGGTTTTCCAGGTGCTGAGGAAAGAGCTATGGTCTCTCTGCAAACACAGTACAGTTTTTCTCACGACAGCTTGAACTTAAAATGCAGGTGGGACGTGGGCACCTCAGCCTGGAGCATGATTGCTGGAGAAGAAGCCACCATGTGTGCTTGGCAGATCTCTTACAACCCATTTTTGAACCCAGAAATCACAGCTCAGAGAGAATTTGTAATCTGACCCAGGCCATTTGGCCAGTCAGTGACACAATCAGGGAATGGAGGCTCTCTCTGTAATAGTAGGTTTCCTATGACCAAAATAATGCCATTTTATGGGAATCAACGAAATCTGATAAACGTCTTCCTGAAATGGACGTATATGCCGATAGGGCAGGAAGTGTTGATTAAGGAACTTTCATCACCTCTCCCAGGAGAATAGTATAAATTATATTAGATCCATTTGTTTGTTCTCAGCCAAGTTTGCTCACGGAGTCAGCTGGCACAGGTAGGAATCGGAAATTCTATAACCCTCTTCCGTTGATTAAAGACAGAATATGTTTTGCTGAGAGCAAGCCATTTGTTGTGTGTTCTAATTTGTAAGAGCTTATTTATAAGAAGTAAAAACTAAACGTGTTATACCATGCTACCCTTAGTTTAACAATGCTAGCTCAAGTCACCTTGTAACTGGACCCTAAATAATTTATAATTAATAAATGTATTTTTCTTACCCTAGCCTTTCTTAATTGAAATATCACTGTCATTTTTCACTTGCATTTTGTACTTGTCCTCTACTTTGGGTTTGATTAAGGAAAGAGTATACTTTCCTTTTGATATGCCAGCTTACACATACACACAACCATAAATTACTTTCTAAAACTTCAGTTTTGATACTGGCAGTTCATAGCTTTTCCTCTAATTTGTTTGGCAAACTTTTCTCCTGTGGCAAAGCACCAGATTAGTTGCTGGGAATATGAGGGTAAAACCCAGTCTCATCCTCCATCAAAGAGACAATGAAACAAGACTCTGCTGTGAATAACAAATGCCACCTTATAGCGATCTGCATGCCGGAGCCTCAGACTTGGAGCTGAAAGTCAGGCAGTTTACCTGTTTCTCCCTTTCTGCCACATGCCTGCTTCAGGCGTTTCCATTTCCTAGAGGAAGGAACCAAGCTTCACAAAGTTCCAATACCCTCTTCCGTCATCCAGAACACCGTAGTGTGCAACACAGTGCCAGCTACTTGTGTTGAGCTCAATTCTTGCCATAGAGGATCCCGTAGAGAACAGGAGATGAAATTTCTGTAACCTGGAATTTTACACTTCACAAGGAGAGGAAAGATACACACAAATCTATAGAGAATTCGTTGGATATTGATACTAGCTTGAAACCGGATCACTTGGAATATGTAGAAGAAAATATTGACGGAAAATAGGCTGTAGCTTTGTGGAAACTCATCAAGGAAACCTTTCCCAATATGATGGCATCTGAGACACAGAAATGAGACACAGATCAACCTAGGCTTTTATGACTAGATGCCATTAGATGTCAGAAGCATAGGCATGGCTTGGTTTGCCTGTGTGTTTGAGTAGAGACACATACTAAGGAGACAAAGGAGAGGGCGTAGCTTATTCAAAAGGTTGTGTCCTAGATATGGTCTTTTGAAGGTCATGGTCTTTGAACCAGTGTAGCAGGAAGGAGGAGGGGGAAAGTGGTCTGATTCTGGTTTGAGTGTGAGGACAGCAGGGTGTGCTGAGTATGAAAAAAGAAGGCGAAGGTGAGCATATACAATAGCGTGAAAAACAGACAGAACTCCATTTTTAGAAGTTTACCTATTGGCAACTGGCCAGCTATCAAGCTGGGTGCAAATGAGGGTGTGTTCTGCAGCCAACTGTTGAGTCCCCCACTACTGACAACACTGCTTGCCCTCAGTAGACAGCTGGGCAACTTTGCTGAGAAAGTGAATTAGCTAATGCTTGAGGACTGAGAGGGGCCTCCATGCAAAGATCCCTAAACATGACAGCCCTATGTCTGCAAAGGAGAAAAACAGAATGAAGCCAGTCAGCACAAGCCTGCTTTGTTCTTACTTTTTAGATTTAATTTTAATTTCAAATAATGTGTGCATGTATGTGTCTGTATGGGTGTGTGCATGTATGAATGCAGATGCCCATTGGAGTCTAGGTTGTGAGTTGCCTGACAGGAATGCAGGGAACTAGAATTGAGTCCTCTGTAGGAGTACTTTGCTCTCAACCCCTGAGCCTTGTCTCCAGCTCAGCATTGCTCAACTCCCAGATGCTCCAGCACAGTGGTTTTCAAAGTATCATCTGCAGACCCAAGTTCCCAGAGGCCTTTTCAGAGACATGTGCAAGGTCAAAATGTTTCTCACATCATCTCTAAGCCATTATTTTCATTTTTCACATCAAGTCTTTCTCATGACTGTAATCTGCTTCCAAAAAGCTGCAAGACACTTTCACAACAGATTGAATGCAAAGCCAGTAGGAGAATCCAGCTGGCTTCTGTTGAGCCAGACATCAGAGGGGTGTGGGAAAATGTAGAGAGATGTCACTCTTCGCACTGTGCTGTACCGATGGTTTAAAATCATGTAGAATCAAAATCACATGCCCTGTGTCATTTATTGATAAATTTTAATGAATAAATTAATATTTGAGAAAGGGTTGTTGCTGCTTTTAACCAATTGCACGTCTAAGTGTCCCCTCTCGGTTATGACTAAAGTAAGTGTTACTATATCACACGAGAACACAGATGCCCTGGTTCCCCCATCATTTTTTCAGAGTGTGAAACTCCCGAGACGAGTTTCAGAACTGAGGATCTTGCTGCTAACGCTGAGGTGGTCTCCAAGTCAGTCCTTAGTCTCTAGACATAAAGCTCCCCTCCCTCTCAGGACGGCCCTCAGAAAGCAGTGAAAAGAATTGCTGACCTGCACCATTTCCTGTGTATCTAAAGTGATACATACAGTTTACCTAATGCAACCGCAGCACAGGAACCAAGGAACCGAGACATCCCAGTTTGGCCGAGAACACAGAGCTAATAAATGATAGAATTGGGATCCAGGCCCTGCCTTGCTGTCCATGTTCAGTATTCTTAAACATCACCAGCAATTTAATATGTATGAGCAAACAAATGAAGGTTTAGGTCAGTACTATGCAGGCAATCAGGATGCCCCTCGCTGGTTGGTTCACCTGGCTCTGGCTGGGTGGTGGAGTCAGTCACCAATGGTAAGAAGACCTAAGGTGAAAAGGTTGGATAGGCAGCATTGAGCGTGGAACCATGGAAACAACCCTGCTATTACGTCCCACAGGTAATCATCGGCTGGGCTGAGAGTCAAAGCCCCAAGTTCAAACCTACACAAGGACCCAGCAGATTTCAGGCTTCACAGGAGTGGTGTTGAGCTCATGCTCTGCCCCATCCCATTGCTTTTGCTCTTCAAAGAGGAATGGGTATTCCCTAGATGTTGCATGATAAAATAACCCACACAAACAATTTAAGAGGAGAAAATATTTACTTTGCATCCTAACTTCAGAGGGTTCAGTCCATGGTCATTTGGCCCCATGTGTTTGGGTGGAAGAACATCATATTAACAAGATTATGCAGAAGTAGAAGGTGTTTATCTCATTGAGAGCTGGAAAGCAAGGGTGGGAGGGAGGAAGAAGGCAGAGAGAGAGGGGAGAGAGAGATGGAGGAGAGAGGAAAAAAATGAAAAAGGAAAGAGAATGAAAGAGAGCCACCATGTGAGGACCAACCAACCGTTCAATGTGTGAGTTTGGGGGAGGGGGAATACTTTATACTGAAACCATTAGGGTTATAAGTTTCCTAAAGATCGTATCTGCAAGGGAAGCTTCGCTTGACATTGGAAAATGTCTCCCTTTCCCTTATCTGTCCTCCCACTGATGGTCACAGAACTGGAAACCGGCTAATGTAATGTGTGGGGAGCCCACAGTGCGTCTGTGGGCTCACAGTGGCACCCCCTGCATCCAGTTCCCACAATGTGGCTATCCGGCAAACATGGAAGCCTTCGTAGGAATTTACAGATGTCATGGGTAGGTTTCCTGGTTACTGAATTGGCCAAGGGAGAACACTCATATTGAATTGTATTTTGCCATAACACATTCTATTTGGTGGATTAAATAATCACACATAGCTTGCAGGCTTTGAGATTTCACAACAATTCAAAATTTCAATATCAAAATTACTGAATGCACATTTATTTAAAACTTCTACAAAGGCCAGAATCAATAAAATACAAAAGCCTAATTATATTCTACCGAGCATACAGATCAACAATAGCAAGCATTTGAAAATGGCACTTAAAGATTTCATGTTTAGGACAATGGGCAGTTTCTACCTTCTGTGTAATACAATCACAGGCTAAAAGCAGTTTTGAAATGTGAGAACTCACGGTCTCTTTTGCCACAGGTTATGTGACACCCCCTGCCTCAGCTGAGTTCAGCTTCTCCAGGGTGGGTATTACATATTAAATGAAGTGATGTGGAATTGAGGAAACTCCGAGATGCGAATTTGGTATACGTTGGGGAAAGACTACACAGAAGGACACGCTTCTCAAAAGACATTCTTGATCCTTATGTACCTTCTGTGCTGCCCTAACCTGAAAAGGAAGTATACCAGCTGCATGGTCTTACTGAAGAGGCACTTATTCCCCAAACCATACTGCCTAGTTGCACAAGT